TTAATTCATTGATCTACCTATCAGTCTTATGAGCTAGGTGCTGCTTTTCTTCCCATTTTACAGATGAGAAAATTAGGGCATTGAGTGAGTATCCAAGCCTCTGAAGGCCACACAACCGGCCAGAGCTCGGGTTTGCACCACAGTGGTTTGGTTCTAGAGCCTGTGCTCCATCCCAGTTCCCATCATCACATAGCTCCATGAGGCAAGTATTATCATCCCCATTTTTATGGATAAAGATTATTTTTAGTCTTAAAAAAGGTTTAACTCTAAGGGTAAGGATATTTTGATATGCATTAAGAAACTTGTCCAAGATCATAAACCAATAAAGAAAGGCCAGTATTTTTTAAATGTTTATTTATTTTAATTGTTTTATTAACAAATTAATTTACAAATTAATTAATTAACAAATTAATTTTATTTGTTTTATTTATTTTAATGTTTATTTATTATGAGAGAGAGATCGGGGGAGGGGCAGAGAGAGAGAGAGAGAGAGAGAGAATCTCAAGCAGGCTCCACGCTGCTCAGCTGAGTCCCAACACGGGGCTCAAACTCAAGAATTGTGAGATCATGACCTGAGCCAAAATCATGAGCCAGATGCTTAAGTGTCTAAGCCACCCAGGTGCCCCAAGGAAGGCCAGGATTTGAATGATGGTCTGTCTGACTCCAAAGCAGAGCTTTTTGGATCCTTTGTGAGGATTTCTCAATTCATTCAGGATCGTGTTCTCAGGTGGGTTTTACGGGCTTACTTTTCAAGGTTCCCCTTTGGCTTCTGCCAGAGCTTGGCAGTCAGGGCTAGGAGGTCTGCACCTGCCCATACCTCTGTTAAGTCCTCTGTTACCCTGAGTGTCACAGCCTGCACCCTGTGATCCACTGACCTTCCTCCCCTCTCCTTTCATCCCAGATCACTATTGTTTTCCAGAACTCTTTCGTTTTGGTTGCAAGCAACAAAAAACTCAGCCTGAACTGGTCTGAACAATAAAGAGAATTTATTGGCTTACGGAACAGAAAAGTATCGAGGGAGGATTGCCTCTGTAGTTCGTAGTTCGTTCAGGATCCTGGTTCTGATTCTCTCAGTTCTGTCTTCCTCTGTGTGTTAGGTTTTGTCTTTGGACCGGTTTGCCCTTCATAATAGGACATGGCGCCCACCCGTAACAAGACCACGTCCTTGCTTTTCCACAGCCACCAAACAACCATCCTGAACTTGACTCTGTGTAGATCATGTTAGGTCACATATGTACCCTGCACCTGTCACTGTGGCATTGGAGGTGATCACTGGAGAGAGGGGAGAATCCTCTTCTCCACCTCCCTTGCCTTAATTTGGTCCCCAGGTCCAAGTGAGTCCTTCTGCAGGAATGTAAAGAGATGCTGACGCTGGCATCAAAGCTGACACAGCTGACAAAGCTGACACATGGACTAGATAGACTTACAGCCATATTGTGCCGTTCACATGCTCTTGCCTAGAAGCTTCCATTTTTAATATATATATATATTAAGGAGAGAGAGAGAGAGACAGCGTGAGCAGGGGAGGGTCAGAGAGAGAGGGAGTCACAGGCTGAAACAGGCTCCAGGCTCTGAGCTGGCAGTCAGCACAGAGCCCGACGTGGGGCTCGAACCCACGAACCGTGAGATCATGACCTAAGCGAAAGTCGGACGCTTAACCGACTAAGCCACCCAGGCACCCCAAAGCTTCCATTTTTAGAATGGAGTGGCAAGGAGAGGCCTCTGCATTTTACCAGAGGACTGGCATTCAGGCTACACATGTCACAACAATCTTTGTGGCACTGCATGTTCTGCACAGAATAGAAATATGCTTTCTGGTTAGGAACATCATAGATCAGCTGAAGAGGGAGCAGTTTGAAGTAGGAAGGAGTGGTACAGAGGATATGTTGGGTGGGTGGACTTACTGGAACATTTTCAAGTGGATAACATTTTATTCCAAGAGTGTCTATGTGTGCCTTTCCCCTCCTTCAGTGAAATACTCTTTCCTTTCTTTCCTTCCATGAAGGAGAAATTCTTTCATTAAAAAAATTAAAAAATATCTTAATAAACAATTTATTGGCAAGTTAGCTGACATACAGTGTATACACTGTGCTCTTGGCTTTGGGAGTAGATTCCCGTGATTCATCGCTTCCATACAACACGCATTGCTCATCTGAGTGAGTACCCTCTTTAAGGTCCATCACCCATTTCCTCTGCCCTCCTGTCCCCCCATCAACCCTCAGTTTGTTCTCTATATTTAAGAGTCTCTTATGGTTTGTCTTCCTTTCTGTTTGAAACTATTTTTCCCCTTCCCTTCCCCCATGGTCTTCTGTTAATTTTCTTAAATTCCACATATGAGTGAAAACATATGATCTCTGGGGCGCCTGGGTGGCTTAGTCGGTTAAGCGTCCGACTTTCGCTTAGGTCATGATCTCGCGGTTCGTGGGTTCGAGCCCCGCGTCGGGCTCTGTGCTGACTGCCAGCTCAGAGCCTGGAGCCTGTTTCAATCTGTGACTCCCTCTCTCTCTGACCCTCCCCTGCTCATGCTGTCTCTCTCTCTCTCTCTCCTAGAAATAAATAAAAAACATTTAAAAAAAAAAAAAAGAAAACATATGATCTCTGTCTTTCTATGATTGACTTATTTCACTTAGCATAATATCCTCCAGTTCCATCTACATTGGTGTAAACGGCAGGATTTCATTCTTTCTCATTGCCAAGTAGTATTCCATTGTATATATAAATCACGATCTTCTTTATCCAATCGTCAGTTGATGGACATTTGGGCTCTTTCCATAATTTGGCTATTGTTGAAAACACTGCTATAAACATTGGGGTACCTGTGCCCCTATGAATCAGCACTCGTGTATCTTTGGATACATTCCTAGCAGTGCTATTGCTGGGTCGTAGGGTAGTTCTATTTTTAATTTTTTGAGGAAACTCCACACTGTTTTCTAGAGCAACTGCGCCAGTTTGCATTCCCACTGACAGTACAAGAGGATTTCCGTTTCTCCACGGCTTCACCAGCATCTGTTGTTCCCTGAGTTGTTAATTTTAGCCACTCTGACCAGTGTGAGGTGATATCTCATTGTGGTTTCGATTTGTATTTCCATGATGATGAGTGATGTTGAGCATCTTTTCATGGGTCTGTTGGCCATCTGGATGTTTAACTCTTGTCCTTCAGATTAGCTTCCCCTTGGAGACCTAAGCTATCAATGTTGCTACCCCTAGAATCTTCCAGAAGACTGCTCTTCTTTTGCTCCTTGGGCTTGAGGGTGGACCAGACCCTTCCCCTCATACCTCAGTCATTCATTGGATTAGACGGGAATGTTGTACTGAATAGACTGAGGGCCTAAGAAAAGCAGTGGGAGTTTTATACAAAGAGGAACTTAAAATAGTTATTCACTAGGGCTGCTCCTGCCCCGGTCTTTCTCACTGGGTCCCTTGCAAGGACTTTCCCATCCTGCAACTGCCGCCCCCGTGTGGTGAACACTCTCTTTCCCCATGGCCTCAGCTTGCTCTTGACTATGTGTGGGCGGTTTGCAGACAGGCCCCAGACAGTCTGTTCTCTCCTGTGTTACCAGTCACTGTTGTTTTCTGCCCCAGGATTACTTACTCCCTAGATGATTAATAGGGGAATGTCTATTCCCTTCAGGGACTACCCCATCTTCCAGTGCTTTCTGATCTAGACATCAGATCAGAATAGTAGGGCATCAGTGAAAGCAAAGCATGGGTGGCCCCAGGACAATTATCTCCTTATACTTCTTGCTACTATTTGTGAATGATAAGAGAACCGAGGAGGAGTGCCGTGGAAGGATTTTAGGCATCTGGGGCATGATTAATTGGCGTTTATGGTAAGGGTAGATTTTATACTTGAACAGATTGATGCTAACTGTTAACAATAGAGGATGATGGGGAAAGAACGATCCCAGACAGACAAGCCTGGCTGTGTGGAAGTGAAGCTTTCAGGCACACCTTATATATGACTGTGTGGCCGAAAGCAATAGACGCTCTGAATCATGGTGGTGATCCCATCCATGAATCACAAGAGGTATGTCTAATGTCATTTTTTCTACAACCATCATTTGAGCCCCTACTTTGTTCCCTGGCAGAGGATGGGAAGGTGCATCAGAGAGGGTCTTTATTCTCTAGGAGCTCACAGTCCAGTGGGGAAGGCCTTGTAAACCCATCATTGTAATACAGTAGGGTTCATGTTGTATTAGAGGAGTGGTTACAGTATCGGAGGAATGCAGCCAGGGGACAGACATTAGCTGCTGGGAGCAGCTGAGGCAGGCGACAAAAAGTCACCCTTCATTCTGGGAGAGAAGCAAGATGACGTTAACTCCAACCCCTCCGTTCATGGATTGCCCCAGTTCCAATGGTGTCCCTGTTGTACAGCCAGACTGCAGGAGTGCTCCTGCCTCCAGCCTCAGGGCATTCTAATGAACCAGTTGTGGATAGTGGCTGTGTGGTGTGCTGGGGAGTTAGTTCTCTCTCTAATCTTCACAACATCTCCACCAGCCCCAAGGCCACCCAAAGATAAGTAATAATTGTGTGCTTGTTGTCCAGACACAGCCTAAGTACAGACCTCCCCCTCCTTCCCACCAGATTACCCTCCCTGTCACTGTCCCTCCTAAGTTCGGGGCTCCTACAAGGTTCACTTACAGTGGAGTCCTGAAGTCTCTGTCAAAAGTAAAATCCTCTCCCCTTTATTCATGTCCAAGAGAGTTGGAAACTTTCAAAGATGATCTACTAGGGAATTTAGGGGATTAATAAATGGAAACAAATGCCAGAAAAGGAAGAAAATAAAAATAGTCATCCATGTGGAAAATTCAGATAATGGACCCTTGACTCCATCTTCATGTCTGGTACCCCTGCTTGGACACATGGATCCTGGGAGTCTCTAATGCCCTGTGATCCCTTGACTTCATGTATTCTCCAATTATGGGCATGGGCAGGGCTCAGAAAGGAGGTGTGCTCTGAAGAGGCTTGCCTATTTCCCTTTATTCATCAAGTTTCGTCTAACTGTTAAGTCACTCTGATCTCTGAGCTCCAGGCTCTTACAGTTGGACACACCTTGCAATGCCTCAGGTAGGAAGCAGCCTCTATTGCCAGGACTTTCTTTGGGGAGGGAGATTTGGTTTGGCTATGTTTTACAAAATGCATCCATTTCTGTGGGACCTGAAGATTTCTGATCACTTGGCTTCTTGCCTCCTCCCTTGTGGCTATGTATTCAATTCTGATCTTATACGTGATGGTAGTTGGTAACAAGCAGGCCACAGTCTTGTCACCTCCTCCTTTCACACCTCCCCCTTTTTTTGGGGGAGGGGGAGATGCTTGCTTTGCCCTAAAATGTTGTCTTCTGTAAAAAAATGAAGTATTGGCAAGGAGAGAGCATCCTAAAATGTGTGGATCTGCATGAATTTCTAAAACCTCAGGCTCAAGGGTTAAATATTCTGCTTCTTCAAGTTGCAGATGACAAAACTGACATCTATAAAGGTAAAATGACCCACTCAGGGTCACACAGCTTATTAATGATAAATCAGGATAGACTGAAGACTGGATACTGGGTATTCTTATTTCTGGTCTTGGTAATTTTCCAAAGGTTTCCAGACTATTTTCTGGAAAGCCTGGGAGTTGTAGGGGAACCGCCTTAGTAGCTGTCTGGGTAGAGATGGAGCACCTCTTCCTTCCCAGCAGATGACTTTAAAAATAATTTTTTTTTACTGTTTATTTATTCTTGAGAGAGAGAAAGAGACAGAGCATGAGGAGAGGGAAGGGCAGAGAGAGAAAGGGAGACAAAGAATCCGAAGCAGGCCTCAGGCTCTGAGATATCAGCCCAGAGCCTGATGTGAGGCTTGAACTCACAAACTGAGAGATCATGACCTGAGCCGAAGTCGGACGCTTAATCAACTGAGCACCCCAGGCACCCTCAGCAGATGACTTTAGATTGGTTTTACACATTGGTCTTGTGGTATGATTTGCTTCAGCAAAATATTTTACCATTTAAGAAGATAATTTAAAACTGATGATGATTCTGTGGATATTTAGGTGGTGATATGAGGGAACAAGATGGGGACTTCTCTCAAATGCTGATGCTGTGAAACTGACCTCTAAAGAAGTCCAAAATAGAGGTGAAGGAAGGGATCTCCTGTTGCCAAACCAACAGAGAAGAAAAAATATTTCAGTAACTGATCTCACATCCTTGATGAGTGATTTTAATTTGAGTTACTAAATCACATTTCTTTCTTTCTAATCTTTCAACTAGAAAGATTCCATGACTTTCTTCATGGAAAATTATTGGAATAGTATGGACTGGCAGGATTGGATGGATGATGAGTTTGCAAATTTCACCGGCACACCACCCACAGAAGAATATAGTCCCTGTAGGATAGACACTGAAACACTCAACAAGTATGCCGTGGTGGTCATCTATGCCCTGGTCTTCATGCTGAGCCTGCTGGGAAACGCCTTAGTGATCCTGGTTGTCTTATACAGTCGGGTCGGCCGCTCTGTCACTGATGTCTACCTGCTGAACCTGGCCATAGCCGACTTGCTCTTTGCCCTGACCTTGCCTATCTGGGCTGCCTCCAAGGCAAAGGGCTGGATCTTTGGCACACCCCTGTGCAAGGTGGTCTCTTTTCTGAAGGAAATCAACTTCTACAGAAGAATATTACTACTGGCCTGCATCAGCGTGGACCGCTACCTGGCCATAGTCCATGCCACACGCACAATGACCCAGAAGCGGCACTGGGTCAAGTTCATATGCATAGGCATCTGGGCCCTGTCCCTGATCCTCTCCCTGCCCATCTTCATCTTCCGAAAGGCCATCAAACCACCCTATTCCAACCCAGACTGCTATGAGGACCTGGGTGCCAATACTACAAAATGGCGGATGGTGATGAGGGTCCTGCCCCAGACCTTCGGCTTCCTCCTGCCCTTGTTGATCATGCTGTTTTGCTATGGACTCACCCTGCGCACGCTGTTTGAGGCCCACATGGGGCAGAAACACCGGGCCATGAGGGTCATCTTTGCTGTCGTGCTCGTCTTCTTGCTCTGCTGGCTGCCCTACAACCTGGTCCTGGTGGCAGACACCCTCATGAGGCTCCGGGTGATCAAGGAGACGTGTGAGCGCCGCAGTGACATTGGCCGGGCCCTGGATGCCACCGAGATTCTGGGCTTCTTCCACAGCTGCCTCAATCCCCTCATCTATGCCTTCATTGGTCAGAAGTTTCGCCATGGACTCCTCAAGATCATGGCCATCCATGGGCTCATCAGCAAGGAGCACTTGTCCAAGGACGGCAGGCCTTCCTTCGTTGGCTCTTCTTCAGGGAACACTTCTACTACCTTCTGAGCCCCTGCCCCTGTTGCAGCCCCTCAGGGCTCCTGCCTGGCCCTCAGCACCCCATTCCAAACCTCATGCCCAGTATCAAGGCAGCCTCCATATCAAGGCAGCCTCTGTTGTGGTTACAAGAAGTTACTGGGCCATGTCCTTGTCAGACCCCCATTGCATGGTTTAGAAAACCTGCCCTGGGGGCCCCTCCCCTTACTGTAGTTGCTATGTCAGCAGCTAGAGCTCAGTCCATCCTACCACTGAGCCTATAGCACTCTGGTCTCAGAGACACTTAGAGACATTTAAAAGACATTCTTTTTAAGTGACTACAGAAAGTTCCCACCATTGGGAGCCATTAGTGGCAAATGGCATTAGTTGCTGCCCCAACTCTCCCTTTCTTGCCTGTCAGCAAAGTCCACTTCCCTCGAGAGAGGCCAAAAAAGCCAGGTACTTCCTTTCTAAGACTCCCTTATGCTGGGAGTGGACTTATCATTCACTTCTGACTAATAAGATTCAAGGGCAATAGTGTGCCGGTCAATCATTCTGGGGAAAAAAGTCCTGACTTGTAGCATTTGCCAAGTTGTCTGGTGTAAATGCTCCCACCGTGGCGATTTCAAGGGTGGTGGTGTTTAGTAACCAGCTCACAAAAATCTAGGAAATGTAATGATCTGCTTTCACAAGCAGGTACAAACTGACTTCAGCGCACCATTGCTTAAGAGGAAATCTGCTGGGGCCGGAGGACTCCTGAGAAGTATTCCTGATTGAAAAAGAGAGAGAGGGGCACTGGTATTGCTCAGTCAGTTAAGTGTTTGACTCTTGATTTGGGCTCAAGTAATGATCCCAGGGCATGCCTGGCTCAGTCGTGGCTCAGTCAGTTAAGTAATGATCCCAGGGTCACGGGATCGAGCCTTATTTTGGGCATTGCACTGAGTGTGGAGCTTGCTTAAGATTCTCTCTTTCTTTCTCTCTCTCTCTGCCCTTCTACCCCACTCACACATACTCTTTTTCTAAAATAAAATAAAATCAACTCAAAAAAATAATAAAGAGAGAGAGACACACACACATCCTTGGTTCTTGCCTTTAAATATGGTTATAGGATATGATGTGACAAAGAGGCAAAAAGTGTGCTCCACTTAGGCAGATGGAGCCAAAGGATTAATAGGATCTGAGAATAAAGAGCCCAGAAAGAAACCTAAGCATAAGTGGTCAAATGGCTTCCAACAAGGGCACCAAGACTCTTCAATGGGGAGAGGATAGTCTTTCAACAACGGTGCCGAGAAAACTAGAGACCCACACGCGCAAGAATGAACTTGATCTTCCCACACACTATGTACAGAAGTCAATTCAAAATGAATCAAAGACCTAATAACAAAAGCTGAAACTATAAAACTTTTGGAAGAAAGTGTAGAGGAAAAGCTTCATTTGGTTTGAGGTTGAGGATGGAGAGACGTTCAGAGATGAGGTTTAGATCAAGGTTGAGATTGGAATCAGGGATGAGGTTGGAGTTAGAGGTGATGTGGTGGGGAGCCCGGGATGGGGTGGCAGCTTGGAACAAGATGGAAGGTCAGAGGTGGATGAAAATCAGGAATAAGAGGAAATCCAGAGCAGGGAGAAGCTGGGGATGGGGTTAATGAGATTCGGGGAGGTTTAGATGGGCCTGGGACCAGGTGTGGAATGAGATGTAGTAACAGGATGAGTGTGGGGGTGTGGTGAGTGGATGAATGCACAGGGGTCACTACTGGAGTCCAGTACAGTAGTCGAGCAAAAAGTGTCTGGAGCAAAAAGACATCATTGGGAGGGTCGCCATTTTTTCTGGGGATCATTGTCTACAATGCTTTTCTTGAGGCCAGGATAGAGGTGCCTTGGCCTATCCAGCTGAGGCTCTCCAAGGGGGTTGATGAGAAAGGAGTTAGGGCTCAAGCACTAGGGGATAGACTTGGTGCAAAGAGAAGCCAGAAGAATGCAGGAGTCCAGGGAGGAAGGCTGGATACTGGGCATGGGAGCCTCCCCTTTCCCTCCCTCCCTCCCCTAATGCCCTTCTGCCTTCTCCAACTGCATACCTAAATGTCCATCTTCCTTCATCCTCTGCTGTTCCAAAGACAGCTCCGCCAGGGCTTCAGTAAGTAAATATGGATCCATATTGGGCCTGGGAAAATAGGAATGACTAATACATACTTGAAAAGATGCTTGGCCTTGCTAGTAACCTGGGAAGTGGGAAACAAACAGCAAAAAAATATTTTAAAAGTGTTTTAAACAGGAAGGGATATACAGTGGACTCTCAAACATCACTGGTTTGAATTGTGTGGTTCCACGTATATGAGGATTTAATAAAATAAATATAGTATTGTAAATGTATTTTCCTCCTGATTTAAAAAAAAATATTTAAATACAATCTATATGAGGCTCACACTCATTGGGCTCAACATGGGATTCACACTCATGACCCTAAGACTAAGAGTCCCATCCTCTAGTGACTGAGCAAGCCAGGTACCCCCTCATGATTTTCATTTTTAATGTTTATTTATTTATTTTGAGAAAGAGAGAGAGAAAGAGTGAAGGCAAGTGGGGGAGGCAAGCAGACAGAGAGGGAAAGAGAGAATCCCAAGCAGGCTCCTCATTGTCAGTGCAGAGCTTGACTCAGGGCTCAGTTTCACAAACTGTGAGATCAGGTACTGAATTGAAATCAAGACGTTTAACTGACTGAGCCACCCAGGTGGCACCCCCCCACCATGATTTTCTTAATAACATTTTCTCTAGCTTATTTTATTGTAAGACTACAGTATATAATACATATAACATACAAAATATGTGTTAATATACTATTTATTAGATTAGGCTTCCGGTAAGGAAGGTAAGGCTTCCGGTCAACAGTACGCTGTTAGCAGTTAAGATTTTGAGGAGCCAAGGGGTGCCTGGGTGGCTTAGTCGGATAAGCGTCCGACTTCGGCTCAGGTCATGATCTCATGGTTTGTGGGTTCAAGCCCTGTGTCGGGCTCTGTGCTGACAGCTAGCTCAGAGCCCGGAGCCTATTTCAGATTCTGTGTCTCCCTCTCTCTCTGACCCTCCCCTGCTCACGCTGTCTCTCTCTAGCTCAGAAATAAATAAGAAAAACATTGAAAAAATAAAAGAAAAAAGATTTTGGGGAGCCAAAAGTTACATATAGATTTTTGAGTGCATGATGTGAGGTGGGGTCAGTGTCCCTAACCCTGTGTTGTTTAAGGGTCAACCGTAGTCAGAACTCCCTCCAAACAAGGGCAACATTGTTCAATTAGATTTTCAATGCAGTGTAATTCTCTGGGTTTAGCTTAGGACATAAATGATTTGGATTTCAGATCTGTAACAATGTTAGGATGTGGGTATTGAAATAACATAGTATACTGAAATATCAAAAACGAGTGTTTAAACCACTAGATAGGATAAGGATTAGATACCAGTCAAGGTCAGGGAGATGGTACACCTCAGAAAGGGCTTAGTGTCCAAGGTGAGGCTGGGATCAGAGATGGGTGCATCTTAGGAGGGGACTAGGGTGTCAGAGAGAGTAGAGAGCCAGGGATGGGAGTAGGTTAGGGTTGTGGGGAACATAAGGATAGAGTGGGGGACAGGGTTTGGGATGTGAATGTATGTTCTGCTTACTGCTTGCTAATTTTAAGTTTTGAAAGTTTGTCTTGGGGACGCCTGGCTGGTTCAGTGGGAAAAGCATGTGACTCTTGATCTCAGGGTCATGAGTTCAAACCCCACATTAGGTGTAGAGATTACTAAAAATGAATGAGTGAACTTAAATAAAGTATACCAAATTAAACTAAATAAAGAGAATTTGTTTTGTAAGCTTGGTTAAAATTTTCCAGTCTCCATGTAATTATGTTGAAATATACTGTTTTCCCCAACCCTAGTTACAATTCTGACCAACCATGGCCCCCTCACCAACCCTTGCCCTCAGCTCAGTGGCCTGTTCTTACTAGTTCCAGCAAAGACATTAATTGAGAGTCTGGGTCTTATTCCATAGGGGTTTAAGACGGCCCCTTTCAGTGCAACTTGGATTTGAGCTAGGGTCTTTCAGAGGCTGAAAATCTCATAGATGCCATCAGAATAAAAGGGCCGCCTTCTCTTTGGTCTAAGGGTCCTTCCCGAGATGTGTCTTTTCTCAGGGGACCACTAACCGAGAAATCATGATGGACTACAGCTTTTTGCCACAGAGGTTGGAGCAGCCGAAGATCTGTGGGTTTGGCCCTTTTAGAAAATCCCAAGTGGCTAACACCTATGTTCTTAACATGGTTGTCTGTATCCATCCTTGTATCTGTGTTTAAACTCAAGATCCTTCTTCCAACCTTGAGAGTAAACATGAATTAAAGAATTGAAACTATATAAAATAAACAGAGTATGTTTCAGACTTTCTAAAATTAGTTTTTTAAGAAATCAAAGTATTTCATGTACATTGCTTTAAAAAAGTGAAATAGCTTTATAAAGCTTATAATGAACATTAGCAGCCCTGCTACACTACTCTCTCATAGCTGTTTCATTTAATGGTGCTGTATATATTTCTTTTTTTAAAAAATTTTTATTTATTTACTTTGAGGGAGGGAGGGAGAGAGAGAGGGATCAAGAGGATTCCAAGCAGGCTCTGCTTTGTCAGCACAGAGCCCAACTCCGGGCTTGAACTCACGAACCATGAGATCATGACCTGAGCCAAAGTCAAGGTACAATGTTTACATTTCCTTTCTTTGTACAAGTTCTATTTTCCCTGGAATTAACAATAGGATTTTCTATTACTTTTTATTACATCATCCTCAAATATCTCCCTCAATACATTAATATTCATCAGGTAATCTATACATTTTTTTTCTTTCTTGGAGACTTCTTTCCTGGAGCCCTTCATAGTCCTGTTTTCGATTTGGACAGGTTAAGTCTCTAGGCCTGGGTTTTTTTTTTTTTTTTTCTAAATTGCTTTAACTACATTTCCAGATAGATTATTTTTATTTTTAAAAAAATTTTAAGGTTTATTTATTTTTGAGAGACAGAGCACAAGCAGGGGAGGGGCAGAGAGAGAGGGAGACACGGAATTCCAAACAGGTTCCAGGCTCCTAGCTGTCAGCACAGAGCCCTATTCAAGGCTTGAACACACGAACTGTGAGATCATGACCTGAGCCGAAGTCGGACGTTCAACTGACTGAGCCACCCAGGTGCCACTCCAGATAGATTTTAAAGCCTGATAGCCAATTTCTACAAAAGTATCCTACTGGGATTTTAATGTGGGTTATTTAAAAAAAAATTTAGTGTTTTTATTTATTTCTGAGAGAAAGAGACACAGAGCTAGTGAGGGAGGGGCAGATAAAGGGAGACAGAGTCTGAGGCGGGCTCCAAGCTCTGAACTGTCAGTGCAGAGCCTGACACAGGGCTTGAACTCATGAAGTGTGAGATCATGACTGGAGCCCAAGTTGGACGCTTAACTGACTGAGCCACCCGGCACTCCATTAATATGGATTATTTTGAATCTGCAGATCAATTTGGAGAAAGTTGACATCTTAACAGTATTGAATTTTCTAATACACAGCATGATATCTTTCTCCAGTTTTT